GCAGTGCTGGCGAACGAGAGCAGGGAGAGGAGAGACTTGGAGTCCGAGGCCTCTGGTAAAAGTGCGTCAAATGTAATTAAACAGAATGCAGCGCGCCATGACGGCCAAACGCAAGCAGGTATCGCCAGGCCCTCGACACCCTGTCCTGGGGTCCCCACTCAGAAATGAGAGCAGCTCTCTCGATCTGCTTGAGCGAATTCACTCGGGCAGGGAAGGCAGGGCTTTCCCGTGAGGCTCCATCATCCTTCCCAAGAGTGCCCAGAAGGCCGGGCCCCCCCACTCTGGCTCAAGAGGCATCATGGGGGTTTCTGGAAAGTGCTGTCTGCAGTGTTCCGACCTCCGGCCCCAGCTTCAGCCCCAGCTCACAGCCCTGTGCCTGGTCCCTCGGCCCCTCACTGCCTCCACCCCGGAGGCCCCAGGCGCTGAGTCCCTACGGCCGACGAGGGCCGCGGCGTCCCCTTCTGTTCCGCGCAGCCCGGGCCAGGAGGACCCCGCGCGGCGGCCTGGCCGTTTGCAGGGTCCTCTCGAGTCCAGGGGGCGGGGCCCCTCCACCCGTGTTCCAGGCCAGCGCCGCGCTCGCCGGATTCAGCTGCTCATCTCTGTGTAACTGTCCCTCGGGCTGGAGAGGAGTGGCAGGGCCCTGGGACACCGGGGGGCCCCGCCGCCCAGCGTGCCTGAGCCCCCAGCACCAAACGGGCCACGTGACCATGAACCCCAAATGCACCTGAGACAGGGAGATCCCCCCTGCCTCGCCTGCCTCGGGGCACACGTGGTCCTGCAGGCCAGCTCCACCCCCAGAGGACGGGGGTGCCGGGAAGCCTGGGTGGCGCCCCGGCTGCTCTGCGGAGGGGCGGCACATCCTCCCTAACCGCCACTTCATTAGTACGAGTGGCCCCGGGGTCACCAAGGCTTCGCCCGAGGGAGGGCAGCGGCAGGGCCCGAGCCTGCAGCTGGGGGACGCAGCCCCGTCAGTGAGAGAACAGGGGTGCTGTGTGCACTCGGGATGAGGCTGCTGCAGGGGGCTCCCTGGGTGCGGGGACCCCCGACGAGAAGGCCCATCTGCATCCCTGGGCACCTCCCTTCATGCCCCTGCCTCCTACTTACTCCTGAGAGGGAGCCTGGAATGTTCTAGCGCACTCTCCCTTCCCCAGAGAGCAGGGGTGGACAGCTGTGGGTCGCTCAGCTCTCTGGATCTGGCCCGGTACCGGCGTGTCTGAGCCATTTCTTTTCAGAATTAACTTTGGGGCTGAGAAAGGCTGACAGAAGTCTTTGTTCCTTTGACGCTCACTCAGGAAGGAAAAATCCGTGGAAAATCTGACATGTGCACTATAGGGAGAAGTCAGTGGATGAGGAGGAATATAATTATTCTCTGCTCCCGGAAGAATGTTTCAGATTTTTAAGTGTCTCATATCAGCTTAGAATTTGAATGACATTTTAATTATTTTGTTTTTTTCTTCTTTGCCTGGTTTGAATCTCCAAAGAGACCCACTCTTGGATTCGGAGGGGTGTGCGGAGCAGAGCCGGGCTCACGGGGCTGTCGCGTGACGGCAGCTGCTCTCCTGCCCCGCGAACGGGCACACGGTTACCGGGACAGGCTGGCTCAGGTCTGGCCAGCAGCCACGCGGGACTTGCCAAAGCTCCGTTTTCCTACGGACACGAATTTGCCACAGAGCCCTGCCCAGGGGGTGTCTCTGGCATTGTGGTGACCGAAGCAAACCTGGTTTCCAGAAAGACGGGCCTCCATTCTCTGAAAAGCACCACCCGGGTGCCAGGACCTCGGTCCGTGTGGGTTAGGAGGCGCCGCCCCCCCGCCCCCGGCTCCCCATCGGAGCCACCAGTGGGTCAGGGCTCAGGACGGCAGAGCGCTGGGAGCCCCTGGGGACAGATGTGGGGGACGGCCGTCTGTAAACCGCGCCCGCGTGCGCGGCAGGAGCAGCGGCCCCCGGCCTGTGTGGAAGCCCGCAGGGCCCGCGCCACACTTCTCAGCCCTGCTCCTCTGGGTGTTGCCAAGTCCTTGCCGCCCACCAGCCGCAAGTCTCGGCTGCTCCCACCCTGCGCCCGTCCTGCGGGCTCCGCGGTCCAGACACAACCCAACTCCAGAGGCCCCCGGACGCTGGACAGTCCTGTCCCCAGCTCGGAGCGCTCTGCGCCGTGGTCCTTCCCCCGCGTGAAGGGCAACTTTCCGTGTCGGCCGGCTCAGCCGCCACCCCAGTTAGGAGGCCACACGCACACCTTGATGTTGTGAGAGGCGGTGTCGCCGGTCAAGTGAAGGCCACAGTCGCATGGCATCGGCAGGAAGAGCCGAGGCTCCCACAGCCACAGCTGGCAGTGCCACCCCTCCTGACGGCCTCCCTCCCGGCCTCCGCCCCCGGTCACCAGTCTCGTGTCCCTCTCTGACCAACTCCGTCCCCACCCAAACCGGACCTCCCCTAACACAGCCTTTCCCCGTCTGCTCGGCTCCGGACCTGCCAGCCCTGGCTCCCCCCACGACTGCCTGGGCATTTCTGCCCCCCGTTCCTGCTCCGGGTGCCCCAGCCTCTCTGCACCTTCCGCGTGCCTGCCCCGCTCCAGCCAGACGCGGCCTCTTCGGTGCCAAGCTGGGGCTGTTGAGTCCTGCGTGCCGGCTGCGTGGCTGGGTGGGCAGGCGGGTGGGCAGGTGGGTGGCTGAAGCTGGTGGCACTTGGCCCAGGACGGATGCAGCTGTAAAACCACCATCACAGGAGAAAGCTGAGCCGCGGCCCACGCCTGGGTTCTGTCGGGGCAGCTTCTCACCTTCCAACCGAGCGATTACGTAAGAGACAAATTATAGCAGAACCTCTGGGAGCCAAGCGGAGTCCTCGGTGCAGGCAGCAGGCAGCTTGCCTCTTAGGAAGGGACTGCAGGGAGCCGCAGCTTCCCAAGAGAAAGCCGGGGGGGGGGGGGGCATCTGACCGGCAGACAGGCTGGCTGTGCTCCACAGATGGGCAGTGTGCCGTGGGCACCAGTGTCCTCGGGGCCCTTCCTGCACAGCCTCTCCCCCGTATGCCCAGCAGCTGAGCCACTCCCTGGACGAGCCTGGGCACCGGGGGTTCCTGTGTGCTACGTGGAAGCAAGCGATCTTGCCAGTGGGCAGGGCTTTGCCCGGCCTGCCTGAGCTTCGGACCTGCTGGTTTGTCAAGTTGGTTTCCGTATGACCATCCCCACAAGTGCCCTCCTCCATGCCCATCACCCCCCTTCCCTTCCCCCCCCAATCAGTCCTCAGTTTGTTCTCAGCATTCAAGAGTCTCTCATGGTTTGCCTCTCTCCCTCTCCCCCATGTTGCTACACATGGCCAGGTTTCATTCTTTCTCGTTGCCATGTAGTATTCCATGGTATAGATAAACCACATCTTCTTGATCCATTCATCTGTTGATGGACACTTAGGCTCTTTCCATGTTTTAGCTATTGTGGAGAGTGCTGCTGTGAACATTGGGGTACATGCGCCCCTATGCGTCAGCACTCCTGTATCCCTTGGGTAAATTCCTAGCAGTGCTATTGTTGGATCATCGGGGAGTTCTATTGTCAATTTTCTGAGGAATCTCCACACTGTTTTCCAGAGGGGCTGCACCGGTTTACATTCCCACCAACAGTGTAGGAGGGGGCCCGTTTCTCCACATCCTTGCCAGCATCTAGAGTCTCCGGATTTGTTATTTTTAGCCACTCTGGCGTGAGGTGGTATCTCAGTGTGGTTTTGATTTGTATTTCCCTGATGAGGAGGGATGCTGAGCATCGTTTCATGTGTCTGTTGGCATCTGGATGTCCTCTTTGGAGAAGTGTCTGTTCATATCTTCTGCCCATTTCTTCACTGGGTTGTTTGTTTTTCGGGTGTGGAGTTTGGTGAGTTCCTTATAGATTTTGGATACTGGTCCTTTATCTGATATGTCGTTTGCAACTATCTTCTCCCATTCTGTCGGTTGCCTATTAGTTTTATGGATTGTTTCCTTTGCCGTGCAGAAGCTTTTAATCTTGATGAGGTCCCAATAGTTTATTTTTGCTCTTGATACCCTTGCCTTTGGGGATGTGTCGAGTAAGAAATTGCCGTGGTTGAGGTCAAGGAGGTTGTTTCCTGCTTTCTCCTCTAGGGTTTTGATGGTTTCCTGTCTCACATTCAGGTCCTTTATCCATTTTGAGTTTATTTATGTGTGTGGTGTGAGAAAATGATCTAGTTTCATTCTGCTACATGTTACTGATCAGGTCTCCCAGCACCATCTGTTAAAGAGGCTGCCTTTTTTCCACTGGATACTCTCTACTGCTTTGTCAAAGATTAGTTGGCTGTACACTTTTGGGTCCAAATCTGAGTTCTCTATTCTATTCCACTGGTCTATGTGTCTGTTTTTGTGCCACCAATCAGTCCATTTTTAAAGCTTCACAACTGCACTCCTGCAGTGATGATCAGAAGACCTGAATTTTTGGGGTGCCTGGCCAGCTCAGTTGGAGGAGCCTGGGACTCTTGATCTTGGGCTTGGAGATCAAGTTGCATATTGGATGTAGAGATTACTTAAAAATAAAAAATCTTAGGGGCACCTGGGTGGCTCAGTCAGTTAAGCATCTGACTTTGGCTCAGGTCATGATCTCACAGTGTGTGGGTTCGAGCCCCACGTCGGGCTCTGTGCTGACAGCTCAGAGCCTGGAGCTGCTTCAGATTCTGTGTCTCTCTCTCTGACCATCCCCTGCTCACACTGTCTCTCTCTCAGGAAAAAAAATAAATAAATAAAAAATGTAAAAAATCTTAAAAAAAAAAAGAAGAGTTGAGTCTTCAGAAAGCACAGAAGGGACTGCCTTGGTAACAGAAACTCGTATTTTCTGTATGTATCATGCACAACGTAGCCCTGAGTGTGCCTTTGTTGTTTACATCTCCTCTGGCCCATGTTTCAGGTGCAAGATAAGCCCTGTCCCCCGAAGCTTCCTTTGGGCTGCCCCACTCTGGTGGGTTTGTGTGTCCTCAGGGGTGGCTCACGTCCTTCTCTGACTTGCCTTGTCAGGGCCTCATCAAGATCCGGGGGGACCAGTGCTGGCGGGACCTCACCTGCATGGACTTCCACTACGAGGTAAGCCCCACACGGGGGACCCACCTCCGGCACCACAGCTGTGGCCTTTTGTAGGCCACGGCTCAGCTCACAGGGCCACCCCTTCCTGCTTTCTTTCTCAGGAGGGGCAGGTGGCTTGCAGTGCCCCACGTGCTGGGGGGGCTGGCAGATGGGACTCCCCGTGCTCATGGCTGTGGGCTCGGCAGTCCCTCGGGCACCGGTCCCTCCACTGCTGTCCATGGTGCTGCCCAGGCACCCTCTCTGGGCGGGTGGGCTGGCCCCATGCACCCCCAGGCTGGGAGCTGCTCTGCGGTGTGCCCTGCCCCCCAGCCATGGCGGACGGACAGGGGTGCAGGCACACGTCCCGCTGCCCCCACATTTCCGAGGCTCCTGCCCCTAGACCCCCACTCCTCCCTGGAACCCTGCCCAGGCCCAAGCCCTTCTGGACGTTCTGTTCCTCCGGAAGCTCACATTTGGGTGCGGGGGGGGGGGGGGGGGGGGGGGCAGGGACCGTATTGCCTTGCAAATGAACTAACCTGAGAGTATTTGGTCTGTGTGCGTAGCGAACGCCTGTCAGGTGCCCGTGTCCCTCTTGCTGACACACCCAGAGCGCCACCCGTCAGGACTTCCTTCCGCATTTCCCACTCTCCGTTTGTGGCTCCGGCACACGGAAGCCACTGTGTTCTGCTCTTTGTACAAGGTCCTTGCCTGCGGCCTTACGCCTCTTGCGGGTTTTCAGTCTTGACGTGTTGAGTAGATGCTGACTCTGAGTCCTGGGCGTGCCTGGGTTCATGTCATCTGTCAACCGGCCCAGGGCAGGGACATCCCCACGCGTGCTGTGTTTCATGGGGGTAGGAGACTGTCCTGAGGGCACGCAGGCCCCCCTCTCCGCCTGCCCCGGGGCCCCCAAGTCCATCCCTCGGTCCTGGAGCCGTCTGTAGTACCAGACAGTAAATTCCCCGGCTCTCCAGCAGGGAGGCAGCGTGGGGCCCCACGTGTGCACCTCGGGGCAGTGGTGCACACGCTCACCCACAGGGATCGTGGAGGACGGAACCTGCCCGCACGTGGGAAGGGGGGGGGTGGGCGCTGTGCCAGCCCCACCGAGGGACACCGGGTGTGGTCACCCCAGCTGCTCGCTCAGGACAGTTCACCCAGCTGGCCCGGGTCATACAGGTGCGCGTTGGTGGGACTTGCAGCGTCACTCGGTCAGACTCTGCCTTGCGGCTGCGCATTCACATCATCGTCATCGAGCATGGCGGTGTCGCGGCTGATGCCGGTGTGCTGTTCCGCCAGCCGTTCTCTATGTCTTCTTGTGTCTCTGTCCACTGGCTTTGGATTTCTTGGGTATTTCACAACTCCATTCCAGCTCTTCTCTTGGCTTGTTGACTATAACTGTTTTGTTTCCGTGGTAATTTGAGGCTCGCCGTGTACGTCGTGCGTCACAGCCAGGACCGGGGCAGTGGTGCTCGCTTTCCCCCAGCCTCCTGCTGCCACACCGTCCCGTTAGACAAGTCACGTGCCACGTCGTTACTGTTGTTGTCAGATTAGCCTTCAGGGATTGTTAGTTACAGTGCAAAGACAGCCGCGTGCGTGTCCGCACCCTCAGCATCGCCACAGCTCCCCTCCGACCGCCATCTGCTGCCCCCCCCCCCCCCAGTGGCCGCCCCGCACGCCCCCTGTGCGGGTTTCCTGCCGCGGGGCTCTTGGTCCGAAGGTCCCTCTCCCCCCTGCTGGTGAAAGACATTTTGACAGGTTTGTTTCAGTCCTTGAGATGTGGCTCCACGGCCCTCCCGCTGGGGCCCAGCCTCTCTGGGGTCAGGCGGGGGGGCCCCACAGCCGCCCCGGCGTCGCGGCTCTTCCACCGGCGCTGGGGCGGGCCCAGTCCTGTGTGTGCCACTCCGTTTTCTTCCTTTTCCACCGCCCGTCGTCGTGGCGGGAAGGGGAGGTGGCCTTAGGATGGCCGAGCTCCCGACATGAGCAGGCCTGTGGCACCCGGGTCTGCCTTGGCCTCACGAGGGCCGGAGCCTTCAGCCTGACATCGGGGCCCACGGGCCGCCAGCCGCCAGCTGTGAGGACAGCGCGCTGTCCCAGTTTCACCCTGAGACCCTCTCCGGACAGGTGCGAGTGACGTTCCATCCCTGCCACCAGGCCCACAGGCAGATGCCTCCGTGTCCCCAGGGGAACACCCACACCCCGAGAACTGCAGGGTGGGCACCTCGCCTCCTGGCCTCTGTGAGCAGCCCAGCTTCGCGGTGAGGGTGCGACCCAGAGTTTTCTGTCGAACCAGAGTACGTACAGCTTCAGGGTTTTCCAAAACTACTATCAGACAAGAATTACCCATGTTCCTGGTCTCGTTAAAACCTCAAACACGTAACTTACAGTCCGCAGAATGGGAAACTGGCTGAAAAAGCCATTTCTATCCTCCTCACACCTCTCACCGAGGGCCTGGAGAGGAGGGCGTTGTACCCTGAACCCGAAACCGTTTTCATCACCCTTCGTGTTTTCCTCATTTTTCCTCCTTAAGGGGGTCTTTTTGGGGGCGCCTGGGTGGCTTAGTCAGTCAGGTGTCCAATTCCAGCTCAGGTCACGATCTCGCGGTTCATGGGTTCGAGTCCCGTGTCAGACTCTGTGCTGAAGGCCAACTCAGAGCTGGAGCTGCTTCAGATTCTGTGTCTCCCTGTCTGCTCCTTCCGCCGCTTGTCCTGTCTCTCTCTCTCTCTGAGATAAACAAACATTAAAAAAAAATTTTTAAGTACCTCTTTAGGGGACCCCACAGGTCCCAGCGGGCATGCAAGCTGGGCCGAGCTCCGGACACTCAGCCACGGTTCTCTAACGAGCGTGGCTGCAGTGGCTGCTTTATGGGGTGCGATGTTCCAGCCAGTTCCAGGGTTTACAACCCGATTTTATGACACGGTGGTTTTTTCCAGCATCAGTGCAAACAAAAATAAAACTCTGTCTCCGCCTTGCAGGAGAAGGGAAACCTCAGGACCCTCCCAGCCCTGAGGCCCAGACACAGCCCCCCGGCGGGGAACAAACCCGCAGGAGGAGCCCGAGGCCTGCGCTGGTGCGGCGCCCTGGGAGACAGAGCCTCCCTTTCCGGGACTCGCTGCAGGAGGCGACAGGCCTGTCACACTGCTAGTTCTCGTTTCCGCGTGGCAGGGAAGCCGGGCAGAGGCTGCGGGGCCCACCGTGGGGCTCACACCCACGTCCTGCTGCCCCTGTGCCGGGGCGGCGGTGCTTCCCCTGAGTGTGTCTCTGCCTCACGTGTGCGAGCTAAGGAAGGTCACAGAAACTCGAAGGAACAGGGATCTGCGACGGCTGTCCTGTGTGTTATAAATTTGGGTCGTGTCCTTCTCAAAACCCCACCATGGTCCCTTAGCCCCAGGTGGCGGTTACTGCCACTGTTCTGTCTCGGCTCCCACTGACACAGACACGACCCGGTGGCAGTGGCGGGTGCGCTGCCAGCTGGGGAGGCCCCCCAGGCTCAGCCCCCCGAGAAGATGCGTCCTGCCTGACCCCTGCTGAGGAACACAAATCATTCACATTCCTTGCCCAGGGATGCGGTTCCCAGAAATGTGCCCCAACCACAGATACACACGAAGTTCAAGGAATGAAAATTGCCAGAGAACGTCAAGCCCCCAACTGCAGGGCGGCCCCACGCCGAGCACGCCGGGAACACGGTGAGAAACCTGGGTGGGCGGAGGGTGCCTGCCCAGCCTCACCCCGGACCCACACTCTTTCTTTCTGCCGGAAAAGACTTGAGCGCCCACCGCCCGCGCCTCGGGCTCGCTCCTGTCCGTCCGCAAATTGTGGAAAGGAACAGACTGGACGCTCGGCACCTGTCCCTGCAGCGTGACTCCGTGAGGAGCCTGGCCTCCCTCCCCCTCCTCCCCGGGAGCAGGGGGCCCAGAAGGCGGACAGCTGTCGCCAGGGCCCCTGCAGGATGTAGGCGCGCCCCACACCAGAGAAGCAGATGGGACCCGGGGTGCCGGGCCTTCCGAAGGAGCGACCTCCCTGAAGGCCAAGTAGAGCACGTCCTCTCCTCATGTCCTTGCCTGCTGCCCCCATGACTGTGTCCTGTCACCGGATGGAGACTGTGAGCGAGGCAGCCGTGACACATGTCCACCCCGACAGGCTTCTCAGAAAGGGCCCAGAGAAGAGACTTCCTTGTGCTTGCTGCTCAGTGCTGGACGGTCCACCCCGAAGGACCAGGGACGGGGGGGCTGCTAGCCTGGGGACGCCGTGGGTGGTTAACACCAGGTGACCGTGAGCAGGAAGGCACATCTTGGGGACACTCGCTGCACTTGCTCAGGGACCCAGAGAGCCCCACTCACGCCTGCCATCGCCTGTCCAGCCCACTGAGAGTCCGGGTCGGGAGTCTGAGGTGGCCGCACCCCGGGGTTGGGGGCTGGGGGACCTGGAGAGAGCCAACAAGGCCCAGGGGCCGTGCGGGCAGGTGTGGCCGTCACGCTTACCAGCGGGACACGCTGGCACTCGCTGAGCGCCTCCAGGGTGGACGGGGAGAGGCCCGCCACGCTGCCCTGAGCTGCAGACGACCACGTGGAGCTGTGAGCTAGACGGGCGTGGGTGCAGGGGAGCTGGCAGAGCCACGCTCGGGTTTTCCCGCTCTGCCCACTGAAGGGCCGGGAGACGGTGACACGCGAGCGAAGGCGGGGCTCCCGTCAGAGGGAACGCATCCGAACCACGGGCGGCAACAGCACGGGGCCTGAAAGGGGCGGCCCTGGAGACGGTCCAGACACGTCGGAGTGGCAGCAAGGAACTCTAAGCCGCGCGCCCACACGGCACAGGCAAACCGGCCGGAGCGCCGTTCCCCTGCAATGGAACACCGACCAACAGTGCAGAAGGAGCAGGGGCCCAGGAGTCACCGCTCAGAGGCCACCGGAGCCACTGATTCTGGCAAGACCCAGCAAAGGGTGCCGGACTGCAGGAGGAGGTGGGTCAGTCCACAGCCTCAACCTGCCCGGCAGAGCCCGGCCGACACCCCTCCGCCAAGAGGTCCAGGTGGAAAGCGCCACGCGAAGGCACGTGGTCACCTCAGCCCCTCCTGCCCAAAGCACGTGCCCCACCTCCACCATGAGGGACACCCCGCGTGTGAGCTTGTCTGTGTCCTAAAATCCACCTGAGGGTCTAGAGAGTCGTAGGGGCTGCACCACCTTTCATTAAACACGTCCTGTCGGGCAGCAGGCGGCACCAGAGTCGGCCCGTCCCTGGCTGTGACCGGGAGATCACCCCTCACGCTCGAGTACTGAGAAGCCGAGCACACGGATGTGAGGAAGTGTGACATTCAGGGATTTTCTTTCTTGTTCTTCCGACTTAGGAGTCAGAAATTGTGTCCAATGAAAAGTTAGCAAGAAGTGTTCCCAAGCGGGATGGGGCCCTTCCCCAGCCAGTCTGCCCGGAGCTGCCTCCAGCCCTGAGCCAGGGGCCGGGCAGCCGGGGCCGGCCGTGTACGCGACTCCTCCCGCGGCCACCCTGCACGTCCAGGGCAGCACGTGGCCGGCGTCCTTTGACCAGGAACCCCCACCCCTGCCCACTCACGACAGACAGCGGGATAGGCACTCGGTGTCCACGCCACGTGGGTGGCACGCCAAGGCACCTGGGGCTGGGGAGCAGGTGGGCAGGGGTCCAGCAGCAGCTAGAGGTGGACGCTTCCTCCTACCGCCTCAGCCACACGTGGCGAGCAAGTCCTTTCATGTCCGAAGCATCTTGGAGCTTCAAGGCTGGATCTCCAGCAGCCCAGCTGCTCTGGTCTGTCTGTCCCTTTGGCCCCAGCCTCCCCCTCTGGCGGTGACATCCTCACCGTACAGGGTGTGTGTGAGTGCAAGTCCCCAGGAGACAGAATGTTGGCGCGTGGACTGTGCACATCCCGCAGCGGAGAGGGAAGGAGTGAGGCCGCTCACCCGGGCCGGGCTCTCCCACACCTGCTGGGCTGCACACCCTTCCTGGAGTCCAAGGGCTCCGGCTGGTGTCGGGATCCGTGGAGCTGGTGCGCGTCCGTGAGGAGCACACACAGCCGTCTACGTGGCCTGCTCCCAGCCTCCTCTCCTGCCGGGGGCCTGGGGGAAGGCCAGGCCCCTGTGGTCAGAGGTGCGGGGCCTGCGAGCCAGGCCCTAGGGCGGCCAGCACCGCAGCTGAGTCAACACACGGGCCTCGTGGGATGTGCACACCCTCCCCCCTCACACGTGTGCGGAGGCCGGTCCCGGGAACACACACAGGGCCGGAACCCTCGGCCTCCAGCAGCCCTGAGCAGGAATCTCCTGCGTGTGAGCACTGGCCTCAAACGTGCCGGTCCCTTTGTTCGAAACAGACCCGAGCTCCTGGGTCACCAGGACCTTCATGGCACCCCAAGGGGGCAGGGTCAGAAGTTACCTCAGTTCCATCGTCTCCCCCACACCCAGCTCACGAGCGGCTGGAGGAAGGGGTCACGGGACTGGCCTCCCCTGCGCCCTTCACAGCTGGATGCTCCCAGGCATCTCCTTCCCCTACACACGCCCCGTGCTTCTGGGTCGGCCGACAGGCACTGCATGGGCAGGGGTCCCCTGTGGGCAGAGCTCCCGGCTTGGCTGACGGGCCTCCTCTGTTCCCCAGACGCAGCCGGTGCCCAACCCCGCGGCCTATTTCCTGCACCAGTCCCCGTGGTGGGCCCACCGCTTTGAGACGCTCAGCAACCACTTCCTGGAGCTCGTGGTGCCTTTCTTCGTCTTCCTTGGACGGCGGCTGTGCATCGTCCACGGGGCCTTACAGATCCTGTTCCAGGTGAGCCCGCGGCCGGCGGTCACCCCGTAACTCCCTGAACCACAGGCTCCGCTGGGGGAAGGAGGCACACGGCCCAGGACGTGCTACTGGGAAGCCCTCCGTTGGGCTGGGTTCTAAGGGGTTCCTTTCACGTGTGAGCTGTCCAGCCACCGCACGTCGGGTCTGCGCGGAAAAGGCTGGGGTCACTCTATTTCCATGCGGACAGCTGTTCTGAACCCTGGGCTCCAAGGCGCTCCGCAGCGGGCAGGGGCTCCACCACCCGCCTCCTCTGGGTGAGGGTAGTGGGTGAACACCCCAGGCTCCTCCCTTCCCCAGACACGGGCATCTACCTGCCAATCCCCAGGAAAAACACTGTGGGGACCTCAAATTGCTGTCGTATTTATTGTTCTTGGAGGCGCAGAGAACACAGGCCCAGTGACGTGCGTGCTGCGTGAGAGCGTTCCGGTGAACACCTATCCAGATAGAGGGGTGCCGGGCCAGCCGTCGGGCTCCAGACCCTGGGCTCCGCCGCGGGGGCAGTGTGCTTTGGGCTGCGCTCCCTCAGCTACCGAGTGTGTCCCGTGGTACAGACATCCCGCAGCTGGTTTATCCATTCGGGTGTTGCCGGGTTTTCACTGTCATGAACGAACTGGAGTCCGTGTCCCGGGTGGGCGGGACTCCATATAGGACGCGTCCCCCCCCCTCCAGCCCGTGGGCCCTGCTCGTCCTGCGGCCTCGCCAGCTGCGTCGCGGGCAGTCTTTCCGTTGGCTGTTCTGGTGGGTGGGAACCTGACCGGGCGTGGGGTCCAAGGGGAAGAGCCGCCGCCTTCACGGCCCTGCCTTCCGGGACTGCAGTGGCTGTGGGACGTCCAGGCGGAGTGTTTCCCACACACCAGTGTGCCCTCCTGCCGGCCACCCTGCTTGCGTTGATCGTGAGCGGGAGTTTTAAGCGTCTTCCTCTCTGCTGCTGGGGTGCAGAAATGACGTTGGCTTTCACGCGTCCGCCAAGTCTGTGACGGCCCTTGCGCTCATCAGTCCTGACTGCTTGTCCCTTTGCTCGCTCACCCTTGAGGCAGCTGCGCTCCAGCTAGTTTTGTTCTGAGTTTTTTGGGCCATGAGTGGATGTTGAATTTTAGCAAATGGTTTTTCCTGCAACAGCGGGGAGAGCGCCCTTCCCTCCCATGAGTCGTAACACAGGGAGGTGCGTGAACACTGCTAATGCTGAGCCAGTCTCACATCCTTGGGGAAACTCCGCGTGACCACACGTGTACTTCACGCTCCCGGTGTCAGTGTGCATCTTGCGTGGCCATCAGTGAATGAGGTCTGTCACCAGCGGCGGCCTGGCCAGGCTCCACCCACGGCGCTTCTGCCCCATGCGGCTCGGTGAGGGCAGGCGGCCACGGGCAGAGGTGGCACCTCAGGGGCTGTCGGACAGGCCTGGTTTCCATCTCTCCCAGAGGCACATTTAGCAGCAAACGTTTTCCTGGACGTTCTTGTCACAGGAAGGCTTCTTTTTGTCATGGCAGAGGCTTCCTTCTGAGCGGAGGAAGGCCACGCTCTCAAGTCAAAAACTGCGCGTATCTCAAGTGGTGTTTTGGGCCTTATGTTCAAGTCTTTGGTTTTCCTTTAGTTCCATCTTATTTTCATCGTTCCATCATTCTTTTCCGAGTTACACACGTGGCTTCTTACGGGTGAATGTGTGCTCTGTTCACAGACTCAAAGTCAGAATTTCCCCCGTCTTGCAGCCACCGGCTCTGCTCCGGCCCCTTCCGGGCTTGAGTGGTTCTGCTTTTTAATTAACACTTTTTTAGAACGGTTTTGGATTTACAGAAAACCAGTGCAGAGGGTCCCCTTGTCTGTGAACCTGTGGCATTCATGGGACACCACGCTCACAACTAATAAGCCAACATCGAGGTTTTGTCCTTGGCTGAAGCCCCGGGTCTACGTGAGGACTGTTCAGGGCTGTGCTTCCTCTGTGCTGGGATGGATGGATGGGGACCTGCAGCCACCCTCACGCCAGAGTCCCCCCACCGCCCTGAAAGCCCTCCGCCCCCAGGCTTGTCCCTCCTCCCCTCCACCCGGGGGGGGCAGCCACCAATCAGCTGCAGTCTCCACGGCCCCACCTTCTCCGGAAGATCAGTGGTTGAGGTCGTCTGCGAGGCACGCTCCGCAGCCTGGCCTCCTCGTTTTCATTGCTGCGTGACCCTCCGTTATCTGGCTGCATCGTTTATTCATAAACCAGCCAGACTCGGCTCAAGGGTGGAGCATGGCTGGGCCAACGACCCCCGCTCCCACACCCTCTCCTGAGGGACCCCCTGGTCTAGCAGGGGCGCTGTGCATCACGCCTACCCACGCACACTTGAGCCCCGTGGTCCCTCCGCCCCAAGTCAGCAGGAGGCGGCCTCGGGCAGAGGCTGGAACAGCCCTGAGACGCCCCCCAGTGTGGACGCCACCTCATGCTGGACCCTCCTCCCCGTCCCCTCCTGCAGGAGAACCTCCCCCTCCTGATTCCAGGCAACTCAGAGCACCCCGCCCAGCACAGCCCGCTCGGCGTCACGGGGCTTTCGTTAGCTGCCGCCTCAGCTGCTTTTCCAGGCCGTGGACCATCAGGACCCTCTCCAGGCCGTAAACCCACGTGGGCCTGAGACACTGCTTTCCACCTACTGCTCTCTCTCCAAAACCTCGAAGCCTGGCTTGGAAAAGTGGTAGGAAAGCACACGGTCCTGTTACTTGAGAGAATAAGGGAAGGAAGTCGATCTACCAGAACGGACGGAAAGGGTCAGCTCCTTGAAAGCGGGATTTGAGAGATCTTTACTTGCCCGCGGAACCAGAGCCCTCCAAGTGCCCCTTGTGTGTTCACGGCGTACTTGGCCTGAGTCCTGCGTCAGGATAAGCTCTGGCTGCTTACCCGGCTGGGCAGCAAGTGTGAATCCTGGCCCAGGGCTCATGCGCCTCCACTGCAAGGGGAGGGTCTCAGGGCTCAAGCGTAGATGGCTCCCAGGCCCTGGGCTGGTCTTGGTGCTGCCCTGGGGTCCGCTGCCTGGATGGGTAACTGCGGACAGTGGTGACGCAGGTACACAGGCAGGGAGAGCCAGAGTTGGACCTTCCCGCCCTGCGGTTCTGGTCATGATTCTAGAAGACCAGCCCAGGCACCTGATTCCCCAAGGGTCCTGGGAGCCGCTGGTCCAGGCAGGTCCCCGGTGTCATCCCCTCTGGGGCCACGCCACACCCGAGATGAGGCAGCAGAACCCTAGCACGGTGGCTCCTCTCTGAAGCCTGGTGTGAGGCCCCACGGAGGCCGGGCCCCGGCTCTCCAGAGCAGGGGGGACAGAGCACCAGCTGGGTCACATACCCAGCCCACTCCTGGGCGGCGTGGCGTCTCCAGTGTGGGGGCCGCAGGGCGCAGTCGTGGCAGGAGCCCGTGTGCCAGCCACAGCGGGGGGCAGTGCAGCGTGGGCACCCCTGTGGGTTTACGCATCGTCCTGAGGGGGGCTGTGCTCGCGTTTCTGCACCCGAGACACTGAGGGGCGTCTCTGGTTCTGTTTGTTTCCGTTCGGTCCTTCAGGGGAGAGCTGAGGATGTGAGCATGCTCGTCTCCTCCTACGCTCAGTTTACACAGCTGTTCCGGAGGGTTCTGCAGGGCCACCGGTCCATTGTCTACTTGGGAGAGGTGCACGTGAGAAGCGACAGGAGAGCTGAACTGCCTGGTCCCAGACCCCCCATTCTGCCACCTCCAGCCTAAGGGAGAGACCCTGGCAGAGGGGCACCCCTCCTAGCATGGGAGCAAAGGGTTGCCAGCCAAGTGGCTCCTGGTCAGTGCAGAGACTGGCTGTACTTCCCAGACCAGAGTCTCCTCCACCTCCCACTGCGTCCTGCTCCGTCCACTCCCTAGGACTTGGGCAGAATCAGGAACACATCACACTGGGGGCCATCACCAGGGATGCGGGCAGAGAGCTGCCTCCCCCGGCCCCTGAGCCACAGGCCCAGAACTGGGGTCCCAGGCAAGTGCCTGATGCCCCTGGCCACAAAGTCGCCATCGGGCACAGGTGTCCTCGGGGAGACTGGGAGCTGAGAGCCCAGCACGGGGGTTCCAGAAACCCATCCCTTTTCCTTTAGGGTCTGTTGCATCACCCGATCACCTGCTCAGCATCTGGTGAGCCCAGGATTCCACGCTCACAGCTCGTCTTCCTGAGTGTTCGCCAAGGTTTCCCTCTGGCCACTGGGGGCAGCACGTGGGGCCACAGGCCTCCAGGCCTGGACTCCACAGCCCGCAGGGTGCCCGACAGGCATGCTTCAGGTTCCACTGCCATAAGGTCCATTCACTGTCCCTCAGGAGAGGCTGCAGCAATGGCGTCCCCTCAGCACACTCATGCCTAATTCCCCTTCTCTCATTAAAAATAACCATCCATCCAGAGGAAGGGAGGGCCGAGGGCCGAGGGGGTGAGCCGGGAGCGCACACTTCTGCAGCCTCAGGCCTCCTGGGGCTGTATCAGAAGCAGGTTTTGTCCCTAACGCGCTCCAGGGAACCCTAGCTCTCCGGGTCAGGACACCCCAGGTGGGCTCACGGGAGGGTGACCGACGGGGTGGGGGAGGCTGTAGGTGAGGAACAGGCTTGTGCCAGGGCCCTACTCAGACCCACCAAGGGAGAGCCAGGCCGTGAGTCACTTAGGGCCTGTTGCCAGCCTTTCAACACATGCTCCCAGGCTCTTACCCAGATAAAACTGTCCAACCTCAAGAAGCCTACTGTGCCAGAACATTCTGGATGATGGACTTGTGGATCAGGCATCGGGGGCCTCTTCTTGCCACATGCAGGCGGACGCTTCCTCCTCTCCACGGCCTGCAGGGGTGGGGGGCCCACAGGGAAGCATCAGGGCAGAACCTCCCGACGCCCCATCCTGACTCCAAAAGCGGGGGTCCACGGGGAGCCCAAGCCGGTGGCCAGGAGGCGGCGCCAGGGCGGGTTGGCCGGCCACTGACCGTGACCCACAGCAGAGCAGCTTGGGACTCCTGTGAGCTATTCA